AATAATGTTTGGAGTAATAATCACTTTAAATTTGCAGCTGTGATGGCTGGTGTGGCAGCCATATGTATGGGGCTAATGGTGGAGAAGCTGGGTAGCATCTTCCACGTTTCCAACAGCATCCTGTCTGCCGTGGGAGGCCCACTTAATGGTCTATTTTTTACAGGAGTCTGTGCACCGTGGGTCAATGCAAAGGTAAAACAAGACTAGAGAGTTGATCTTTTGAGTCATACCATAAGAACCATGTGATAAAAGTAGAGCTGTTTTATATAGTGATATCTAATGACTGTATCTGTTGGTAAATATTGCTGCTTCCCATCATCACAGGGAGCTGTGGTGGGGTTCGTACTGTCGTTCATCTTCAGTGTTTGGGTAGTTATTGGTAAATTTGTGCGAGGAGGGGGTTCGCCTCCCCGCCTGCCACTGTCTACTGAGGGCTGCCCAGAGAACCTTGCCCTCTTCCTTAACGCCACCGTCACCGGCCTCGTCAACAATACCACTCGTCTTGCTGATACTATGTTGACGACCACCGCTCTGCCTGATGCTGTGCCGGCCAACACCACAGCTGTCGATGGGTCAGTACCACCAAACTCTAATTGGTTTTACTTTACTTGTCAAGCTGTATGTCTGATGTTTTGGTCCATTTACTACATCTGTTTCACGATCTGACTATACACACCTTGAAGCAGTAATGTGTCAAACTTTAAATCGGTGACAAAGGAATTCACACAGGACATAGTGTAAAGCATTTATTAGCGGTTTAATGTTGAATAATGGACGTTTAGGTTATAAGAACATAAGAACATAAGAACATAAGAACATGAGAAAATAAGGAGTCTGCAATAGGCCGGTTGGCCTGTGCATGGCAGCTCCTGTCGAGAGTTACTACCACTCTCTATCATCCATGAATCTATCTAGCCTCCTTTTGAAACATTCCAGAGTTCCAGCACTTACTACAAAGTTGCTAAGCTTGTTTCACTCGTCCACCACCCTATTTGTGAACCAGTTCCTTCCTATCTCCCTCCTAAACCTAAACTTATCCAACTTAAATCCGTTGCTCCGAGTCCTATCCTGCTCGGATATTATAAGAACTTTATCTATACCCCCTTTATTGATTCCTTTCACCCACTTAAATACTTCTATCATATCTCCCAGCACTCTTCGTCTTTCTAGGGAATGCAAGTTAAGTTTCTTTAACCTATCCTGATATGGAAGGTTTCTAAGTCCCGGAATCATTTTCGTCATTCTTCGTTGCACTGACTCTAGTGAAGTGATATCCATTCTATAATAAGGGCACCAGAACTGAGCCGCATAATCGAGGTGCGGCCTGACTAGCGCAAGATATAGTTGCAATAAGACCTCTGCACTCTTATTACTTACACTTCTAGATATAAAACCCAATACTGTGTTTGCCTTATTTCGAACATTAACGCACTGTTTTCTAGGCCGTAGGTCCGGGCTTACAAGTACCCACCTGTCAGATCAAAAAACATGACTAGTATAACTGAATTATTTGACTCTCCTCGGGGGAAGCGTAAACGAAGGATGAATGCCACCACCAACATAAGGATAAACAACAACATTTGTTGGGTAACGTTTAGACAATATCTCTTGTCATAGTCAGACCGAAGACATGACTTACAACAGTATAAAATTCAACATGACAAATAAAATTGAATACAGCTTTGGTTATATTAAACACATAGCAAAAAAAAAAACACTGAACATAAAACATGGAATTATTAATTGTTAAAACCTACCACAAATAACTACACGGAGCAAAGACGCAAAAATTAGCAGCAACTTAGAACTTAACACCAAAGATAAATACACAAAAATAAGCAAATATGTTACATACCAGTTAGAAATAAAGTAAAGAAGTAGAGTGGCAAATAGTGGGTATGAACGAGGATGTTTGGTGAGCAGTGCGTGAGAAATAATAATAATAATAATAATAATAATAATAATAATAATAATAAACGGTTTATTGAAAAAGTTCTGCAGCCAGAAGGCTGAAAATATACATTGGACATAAAATGACTTATTACATACATTGGTGGTTTAACAAAAGCCTTCATTTGAGACAGGTGAAGGAACATACAGTGAACATAAAGATTAATGTTTACACACGTAGATCATGTGCGATGAGGTGTTGAACAGCAGACGTAGTGTAGTAACTCCCTCACAGATGGCGTTATGAGGGCATCACGTGGAGTGCCAGTTCCCTCACAGGTGGTGTTATGAGGGGCTTGACGTGGTGTAGTACCTCACAGATGGTGTACGAGGGGCCTGATGATGTAGTAGTTCCCCACAGATAGTAAAATGAGGGGCCTAACGTGGTGTAGTAATTCCCTCACAGATGGTGTTACGAGGGGCCTGATGATGTAGTAGTTCCCTCACAGATGGTAAATGAGGGGCCTGATGATGTAGTGATCCCCTCACAGATGGTGTTATGAGGGGCCTGATGTGGTGTGATAATTCCCTCACAGATGGTGTATGAGGGGCCTGATGTGGTGTAATAATTCCCTCACAGATGGTGTATGAGGGGCCTGATGTGGTGTAATAATTCCCTCACAGATGGTGTTATGAGGGGCCTGATGTGGTGTAATAATTCCCTCACACATGGTGTTATGAGGGGCCTGATGTGGTGTAATAATTCCCTCACAGATGGTGTATGAGGGGCCTGATGTGGTGTAATAATTCCCTCACAGATGGTGTTATGAGGAACCTCACTTGATGTTGTAGCAACTCATTCACTACGTGGTGTCGTAGCATCATAGGGACACCACGTGGTCTGTTGTCACATGGTAATGTATTGGTTGATAAGAAGGAAATCAAAGAGGTTTGGAAAAAAAAAAATAATTACGACCGACTGTGAACGAGAAGTTTATATGGATCGGAGTCAACTTATGAGTACCAAAGCCAGTTCAGAGACCATATCCAAGAGTTAAAAGAGAATGAGTGAAGCAAGAAATTGGCAAGAAAAGAGAATGGAACGGCTACTGGAAGCTCGGGATTAATTCATGCTCCTTTGGCTTGTAAACTTTCGTCTGTGTCTGTAATTGGCCATCGGGTGCTCCTCCTTGTCACCACACATCCTCAAGGCTTCAAGCAATCTTATTTTTTCCCTTATTTGTCTATTCACTTTATAATTCCATCGGCTTTTCACTGCATGCCTAGCTTGGCCCTTCGCCCTGCCCCACATCATGTCAGCAGAAAGTCCTTTATTTTGGCCCAGCATCTCGCTCCACTACCCCTCTCAGTACTGCTAGCAGAGTCCACTCTTCTCAACCCAACATGATATGCTTTCCTTATGTTTTGTTCCTTAGATTTCCACACTCTCCTTTTGGTAACATATATAGCACCTCATTCTTTCCCCTGCACGTTTTAAGCAGCATATCTCATGCAAACATTCTGTTCGCACATTCTTCACCTAATATACGCTTTACATCCGAAACAAGATTCCAATCACAATTCCTGATAAATTTGTAGTTAATCTTGGTTTGTGTGTGTGTGTGCGCGCACATATGGTGGTGTAATGTGTCTAGTGTGGCAGCATATGTTAGTGTTAAAGTCCAAGCACTGCTTGCTTCCTCTCGCTTTCAGCTACAGCCGCTGGCTATCCGTCGTGGCGAACAGGGAAACAACTTACTTAAGTCCTCCCCAGCCAATACAGTCTCTTCACCATCAAGACTCTTGCTGTGCCTCCTCGTGGCAACACACTGTAACTGGGTGCCTCGTGGGCCCAACCCAGGCTAAACCGGCAAGGGATATCGGAGTAGCAGTGGGCCCCAGAGGGACAGCACATAGGCCCACTGGCATGTGGACACGTCCTGGCGCCTACTAACCACTGCCACGCTGCTTGCGGATTAACCTTGGTAGATACAAGGCTATGGAAGTAAACACCAAATGAAAAATCTACAGTGGAGCCCTGCAACAGGCAAGCATGCTTCCAACAAGACCCCAACGGCGGTATAAGCGGAAAAGGTGACCAACGACCCAACGACTACACCTGTGGATGAAGGCAATTCAAGATGGACAGGCTACTCAGGCGAAACTCAACAAATTGGGCCATCGGCAGTTCATTGCAACTCTCCCTCTCCCCAGTCATTGCAACACTTGTACCACTGGATCAGGAAACGGGAGAGCCAAGGTGTATGGTTGTAACTTGTGCTCCTGTCTCACCACATAAATCAACTCACAAGCAGCCATCATCCAGCTCATCATACTTCTCATCATCATCAAAACCTCTATACCCCCAAAAAGTCCTATGGCGATGGACGAGTGGCAACAGGGCCAAGCAGAGATGACTCCCGAGAGTTTCTAGTCACAACTCTACACATGGGCGGCATAAATAAGATGGTCGTTTATGCACTGGGATCTAGTCAGCAGTGCAATCCGGTCCTGTCTGTGCGACTGAGCAGTCCTTACGAGTAGCCATTCTGCTCACCCAACAGGGGGAGGGGGCTGGGGCTGGTAAAGGTGCCCCAAACAGAGCCTGGCTAAAGAACCAATCTGACTGTGCAACAGCACCCTTATGCAGATCAAAACAAAAACAAACTATACTACCTATTATGGTTGCTGCATGGAATGTCAGGACCCTTCTGGATACTGGCACAAAAGTACACGTCCTGAAAGAAAAACCGCCCTTGTGGCAAAGGAGCTGGCTAGGTGTAACATCGACATAACATCCATTAGTGAGTCCCGGCTCCCAGACAAGGATCGACTAACAGACGGGAATCTGGCTATTCTTTCTTATGGAAAAGTAAGCCTTCTGCAAAGAGAAACCACATTTATGAAGTTTTGCTTTGCCATCTGCCAAAGCATCCTACATAGGCTAGCTGAAATGCCTTTTGGGATCAACGAGTGTCTCATGATGCTCCGATTCCCACTGAATCACTCACGCCATGCCTTCTTCATCAGTGCATACGCCCTAACACTGGATACAAAGGATGACATCATGGAGTCCTTTAACACCGAACTTGACAGAGTGCTAACCTCTT